ATGGAATAAATTTAGGGAGTGGTGGAGGCTGAGGAGTCTGGAAAGAAAGGGAGCTCTGCAGGAGAAAACTAAAGAGGAGGAGGAAGAGGGGCTTTCAGAGGAGGAGGAGAAGGCTCAGGAGCACAAGGTCTCTTAGTTGCTAAAGTTTTTTATCCTCTTAATATTTTCATTGCCTCAGTTTTGAGACTGTTGTCTGTAGTGAAGCAAATTATGTGGACTTTTTGTTTTGTTTTATTTTCTACTTTTATGGTTACGTTTTTATTGACATATAGTAATTATATATACTCATGGGTGCTGTGTGATATTTTGACACCTATGTACACTGTGCAATGTTCAAATCTGGGTAATTAGTATATTGAACACCTCAAACATTTATCATTTCTTTGTGTGGGAAACATTCATAATCCTACATTCTAGGTATTTTGAAATATACAGTAAATTTTTGTTAATTATACTCAACCTATTGTGTTATACAGAATGAGGAAAGCAGAAAATAAAACAAAACAAAAAGTCCCATAATTCTCCTATGTAGCTGAATTTTTGAATAACTTAATGAACACTTCTCTAATCTTTACTCATTTATAGCCTCTTGAAACTATTATTCTGTATTTAACTTCTAAGAAATTAGCTTTTTTTTTTGGTTCCATTTATGAGTGAGATCATATGGTATTTTTCTTTCTGTGCCTGGCTTATTTCACTTAGCAAAATGTCCTTCAGGTTGTCCATGTTGCTGCAAAAGACAGGATTTCATTTTTTTCTTATGAATAAATAATATTCTACTGTGCATACATGTGTATGTATGTATATATATCTGCACAATGAAATATTATTTATTCATAAGAAAAAAATGAACTCCTGCCTCTCTCTCTCTCTCTCTCTCTCTCTCTCTCTATATATATATATATATATATATATATATATACACACACACACACACACACACACACACACACAACATTTTCTATATTAAATCAATCATCAGTGAATACCCCAGTCAAATCATTCATTGATGGATACCTAGATTTATTCCACATCTTGGCTATTATGAATATTGCTATAGTGCTGCAATAAACATGGGTGTGCTGATGTTTCAGTGATATACAAACTTCCTTTTCACTGAATATATAATGAGTAGTAGGATTGTTGGATCATATGATAGTCATATTTTTAGTTTTTTAAGAAACTTCATACCATTTTCCATATGGTTGTACAAATTTACATTCCCACCAACAATATATGAAAAAAGGTTTCTCTTTCTCCACATTCTCACCAGACTTTTTTTGTCTTTTCTTTTTCTTTCTTTCTTAGTTTTTAAAAAATATTTATTTATTTTTGGTACATGGGGGGGCTGGGATTGTGGCTCAGTGGCAGAGCGCTTGCCTAGCATGTGTGAGGCACTGGGTTCGATCCTCAACACCACATGTAAATAAATAAAAAATAAAGGTATATTTTTGGTACATGGGATTGACTCCACGGGTGCTTTACCACTGAGCCCCATCCCTAGGCCTTTTTATTTTTTATTTTGAGACAGGGTCTCACTAAGTTGCTGAGGCTGGTCTCAAGCTTGAAATCCTTCTGCCTCAGCCTCTTGAGTCATGGGATTATAGGAGAGCATCAATGTGCTTGGCTTCAATGATAGCATCCTTACTAAAGTGAGATATAAAAAGAAGATGTGACCAAAAAAAAAAAAAAAAAAAAAAAAATATATATATATATATATATATATATATATATATATATATATATATATATTGTACTATAGACTGAACCCAGGACCTAGAGCATGTTGGGTAAGTGTTCTACCACTAAGCTACATCCCCAGCCCTTCATTGTTTATTTATTTATTTATTTATTAACTGATTTTATTCAGTCTCCTTAGAGACTATATAGCAAATCATTATGGTGAGATATTGGGAAAAGTTTTCAATTAGCAGTAGTTGTGCCTCAGATAAACATCATTTATATGATACTGCCACTGTGCAAAGTTCCAGCCCTTTAAGTCTTTTATTTTTAAAATATTTTTAGCTATAGATGAACACAATATCTTTATTTATTTATTTTTTTTTGTGGTGCTGAGAATTGAACCTAGTGCCTCACACATGCTAGCTAGGCAAACGCTCTACCATTGACCCCATAACCTCAGCCCCCAAGGTTTTTTTTCGAGACAGAGTCTCTCTAAGTTGCCCAGGCTGATCTTGTGTGTACAATCCTCTTGCTTCAGCTTCCTGAGGAGCTGGAATTACAGGTGTGGTGATTAGTGATAGCCAGTTTGATTTCTATTTCCCTAATGACTAGTGATATTGAAAAAAAATTTTCATATACTCTTTGGCACTTTGTGTGTCTTCTTTTGAGATACGTCTATTCAGATAATTTGCCTTTATTTTTGGTACCAAAGATTGAACTCAGGGGTGCTTAACCATTGAGTCACATCCCCCAACTCACTCTCTCTCTCTCTCTCCCTCTCTATCTATCTATCTATATATATACTTTTTTTTAGACACAGGGTCTTGCTGAGTTGCTTAGGGCCTAGTTAAGTTGCTAAGGCTGGCTTTGAACTCATGATCCTCCTGCCTCAGCCTCCTGAGTTGCTGGAATTAAATTACAGGCGTGTGGCACTGAACCCAGCTCATTTGCCATTTTAAATTTCTGTTTAAATATATATATATATATATATATATATATATATATATATATATATATATATTTAGTTTTTGATAGACCTTTATATTTTATTTAGTTTACACAGTGCTGAAAATTGAACTCATCCCTCACACATGCCAGGCATGTGCACTACTGCTGAGCCCCAGCCCCGGCCACCATTTGCCATTTTTGATCAAATTATTTTGTTTTATTTTTGGCTGTTGAGTTATTTGAATTCCTTATATGTTATTCTGGATATTAATCATTCATATATATATATTAATCATTCATATATATATATATATATATATATATATATATATATATTCTCTCTCTCCAGAGTGATATTTTACAAATATTTCCTTTCATTTTGAACTTTTTATCTTCACTATTGATTATTTTTTCTTCAGAAGCTTTTTAATTGATTAATAGTCTGTTTTGCTTATTTTCGCTTCTGTTGCCTGTGTTTTGGGGACCTTATCCAAATAAATCTTTGCCTATACCAATGTCCCAAAGTGTTTCTTCTATGTTTTATTCTATGAGCTTTATAATTTTGGGTCTTCTAATTAAGACCAGATAAGCCAAGATAGTTGCCTAACAATTTGTTTATATATAATTCATTTTGAGTTAATTTTTGTATAAGGTAAGAGATACGGGTTTCCTTTCAGTTTTCTGTGTATGGTGATCCAGTTTTTTTTTTTTTGATTGGTTCTTTTTGGTTATACATAACAGTAGAATCCATTATGATATAAACATACAAGCATGGAATATATCTTATTTTAATTAGGACCTCATTCTTGTGGGGGTGATCTAGTTTTCTAAGCACCATTTGCTGAAGAGATTATCTTTCTTTAGTGTATGTTCTTGTTACCTTTACCAAAAAACCAGTTTGCTGTTAATACATGGACTTATTTCTGGGTTTAGTTCCATTCATCTCTGTGTTGTTTATATACCTTTTGCTAGTACCTTTGCTGTTTTGGTTATGATAGCTTTCCTTCATATTGTGAAGTCCGGGATGTTAATGCCTTCAGCTTTGTTCTTTTTGCTCAGGATTGTTTTGGTTATTCAGGATCTCTTGGGATTCCAGATGGGTTTTATTTTTTTTTTTTTATTTCTGTGAGAAATTTCATCGAAATTTTGACAGGAACGCTTTGTAACAGTTTGTGGCAGTCATATATTCCTAAGGTGTTTTATTCTTTCTATACCTGTGAAGTGCAAACAGATAGATTAGTCTGGTTTATGTGCTTGGGCAAGTCTGCTGTACAGGATACTCTACTAACAAGATTGTACAGTGGCCTATATATTGCTTTGTGGAGTTGAGTTTTTCATTATTGGTGCCTATTAAACATTTTTCAATCTCCATAGGTTAGCAACAAGTAACCTCTTCCTGGACTGGGCAACAGAAGTTACACATCATGCCAATCAGACTGATTCTTGAATCTGCTCAGGACTCACTGTGACCACAGCACATGCATTCCCCTTGAGTAGTCCAACCTACAGATGAGACAGAATGGACTTGACTGAAATGGAACTGGAGTAAAGACACCTTCATGTCTCAACCCAACTGTCTAAAAAATTAGTGCTATGGATGTCCTTTTGATTGATCCATTCTTTAGATGGTTAATGTCCCTTCCTTTAACATGATGCAATATTTTCCATGCTTGCTGATAGGTTCTTGCTCTTTGTACTGCTGTTGTGGAATATGAATGCAAGGTGCCTCTGAAGCCTGTTCTGATGACTTTGTGGAAGATATGGGAAGGCATAAGAATGTTAGAGTCATTAAAGGGTCTTTGAGCCACTGAAGGTGTGGAGTGTTGTGGGTTTAATGCAGGTTAGTACCTAGGAAGTCTTTTGTCCCTGGCAGTGAGTTAAGAACCATTTTAAAAAATGTTATAGAGGGTAAGGGGGAAAGAATCCGGCCAATTCTCGAATGTCTGATCTTTAGCTGAATGAAATTAGCTGAATCAAAGCAGAATGAACTTGGTTATGAAGTAAAGGAATCCACCTATAAAGTAGGAACACTATCTGTCCTGTATATATTCCGACTGCTTGTAGGCATGGTGTGGCCCCTATACTGTCCTGGCCTGCCACTACCGAGGAGTACCCAAGTAATAAAATGTCCAAACCCACTCTGTTGAGTCCAAATTCTTTCTCTTGGATCAGCAAACAGTACACTGAGTCTTTGCATCCTTATCGTTGAAGAGGTTCCTTGATGGGTACTACACTTGATTTCCATGGGTCACCTCTTTTTCCAGGGTGATTTTCCTTTGGATTTGACTTCTCTGACATCAGTTTATGCTAATCTAAAAAAAAAAGAAAGAAAAGAAAGGAAGGAAGGAAGAAAGAAGAAACATAGGACCTCTGGAACAAAATATTTTATTTACTATTAGTAAAGTTTTTCAACTTGGGGTATACAGACTAAGAAAATCCTAGGCACACACAAGTAATTGGAACAAAGGGGGAGTTTTTAAAGACAAAGAAATCAGGTAAACAGCTTCAAAACTTAGGTAATTGGTCTCAGGAATTCATTGCTGAAGTTGGCATTATTGTTTTGGCAGAAATAGCCATTGCTAGGCATCAGTCTTGGCTTATCTGAAATACTATGGCTAGAGGAAATTGCTGAGATAAGCTGGTTACAAAGTATCAAGGTAATTTAGAAATGCACTCAAGAGAGCTTTATGGGTATTCCCAACTCCTTTGGGTTAGAACTTTGACATAAATTACTCCATTTTGTATTATTAACTTCCATTAGCCAGGTGGAAGAGATGAACAGAGCAAGGGATGGAGATCTAGAAGTTCCATGCCTTCTTAGGATGTGCCTCCCTCCCAGTACCTAGCCACTTGGGAGCTGTTCAAATTGCATTGTCTGTGAGTTTTTATGGAGATTGTTTTCCTTGCCTGCCAACCATTATTGGAGGTCAATAGTTGAAGCTGAAAGTTTTACTCCATTATCACTTGTTCTTTCTGGTCACCAGCCCCATCTAGAGGCTATCTAGGGAACTTAATCTAAGTCAGATCATTAGCAAAAACTCAGATGATGAGAAGGGGCTCATTATTAACAAAATATTCCTAATTCAGAAATTCCAAAAGGTTTTTAAAATGAGGTTTGCTATGAATGACATTACAAAGGATACATATTAAAAGCTTCATAAGGTAAGGTATAGGGAAAGAGGCACAGAGCTTCCTTCCATGCCCTCCCCAGGCCTCCAGGAACCTGTACAGGTTCCAGCAATCTGGGAGTTCCCAAACCTTGTCCTTTTGAGCTTTTATGGAGACCCCATCACATATTTAATGCTAATAGACTGGATGGGGAAACCCAGCAAGTCCTGTCTACTCAGTTTGCTCCCAGTTTCCCTTCCTTCCTCCTGGACATGTAACAGGACCTTTCCCAAAGGGGGGGTCTTATAATATACTATCAGACAAAGTAGATTTCATGACAGAAATCAGGACAAACACAAAATATATTTCATTTTGCTCCACAGTTACCAACTCCCATGACAACATGGTCGGTGCCAAGGGCAGAATTCTCTGTCCTCACTCTTTTTTTTTTTTTGGACTGGGGATTAACCCCAGGGGTGCTTTACCACTGACCTACATCCCTAATCCTTTTTAATTTTTGAAACGGGATCTTACTAAGATGTTGAGGCTGGTCTTAAACTTAGCAATTCTCCTGCTTCAACTTCCTAAATTACTGGGATTATAGATGTGTGCCACTGTGCCTGGCTGTCCTTACTCATATATGGACAAACTGTTAGAGGAAAACCTTGCCCTCCATCTACCAACGTTCTATGGTCAAGGACCTATGAATCAACAGTAGACAGATCAATAGGAGGAAAGGAAACTGGTTCTGTTCATAACTTGTGGGAGGGCTAGGATGAAGGGTTAAGTTAGATTTTTTTCTTCTTCCTTCTTCTCCTCCTTCCCCTCCTCCTTACCCTCTACCTCTTCTTCTTTTTAAGTTTCCTACTGAAACCTTTTATTGTTTTGTTCTTGTTGCTGAAGCTTAAAGAAAGTAGCTTTGCCCAAAATTCCTGAGACGTGGACTTAATGACACCAACTTGAATTTGAGTCAATTAGGAACAAGACCAAACTGCATTTCTAGGTCTGTTTAGTTGATAAATGGAACTTCACCAATGACTTTTTTCATATAACCTTCAACAAGAACTCGTAAGTGGCATTGATTATGCGCCAAGAGATAAGGGACCCATGGTCATTCAGGTGGACACCTCTGAAAAGATTTGTCTGTCTCCTGTCCTATTCTACTCTGATTTGTTTTTAAAACCTTGAGGAAAGGTTGAAATTTTTCACCAATCTGAGATTGTATAAGAATTTTTACAACATTAATTGAGGGGAAAAAATATCCCCAAACCAAGAATCCCACCATGGCACCCAACAGACCTCCACAGATAAGGTCATTGACTAAAAGAGCATCATGAATCACTGCAGTAGGGAGATGCTCCTTAATGGAACTTTGAAGTCCAAAGAAAAGGACTTTGCTGAATCCATTATGGAAATGAATAGGCACCAAACTTCAGTAATACTCTCCAATTCCATGGCATTTCAGTGACTGGAAAGCCTGATAAGTGTTTGTGAATTTGTCATGATGCTTGTGATCTTGAAGCAATGTCTGAACTCTGCAATGGAGTGAAATGGCTTCTGTTGTCCCTGCAAGTACTGTTGCCATACCACCAAGCCCCTCCACAGGTTTCAAACACTGGGGCACTGACGTGCTTTTAGAGAGAGGAAGTGCTCTCTGGGAAAGCAAATGGACTTTTAGAGAGTATAAATGAAAGGTTCAGGTAAGGTTTATTTGTACAATTGTCTTGGAATACCTCCATGCCTGGAGATACCCATGGAGGGAAGTTAATGCTGGCTGTATTTTCAGGAAGCTATGCATTAATCAGATAAGGGGAGTTCAAATAAAATTTCTTTCTGTATCTTCTGTTATTTAAATATTTTCAATTTATTCTCCCCTCCCCACACACTTCCCTCCTTGCAGGTAGCATCTTCATATATCTCTGCTCTCCAATTTATTTCTGAATCTCCAAAGGGTGAGGGAATGGGTGTGAGACTTGTTTTTGAGATGAATCACTTCTTCTGAAATAAACAAAATAAAGGTTTCTGTGCTGTGGTCATGGATCTGATGTGCATTCTGGCCAGAATATATGAGGATATTCAGGTATATATATGGAAGACCAGAACTTAGAGTATAGGAGAAAAATTAATAAATAAAAATAATAAGTAAAAATTTAAAAAATCCCTTTAGATACTTGCAGATTAAGTCTTTTATTACAATTACAAGGGAAACATGAAAAATCTTTTAAACAGGAAGTCTTTTTTTTTTTTTCAGTTCTGAGAATTGAACCCGGGGATGCTCTACCACTGAGCTACATCCCCAGCCCTTTTTAGTTTTTATTTTGAGATGGGGGTCTCACTAAGTTATCCAGGCTGGCCTTCAACTTGTGATCTTCCAGCCTCAGGCTCCTAGGTAGGTAGGATTACAGGCCTGTTCCACTATGCCTGACTTTAAAAGTAAGTTAATCTTAATGATCTAGTACATTTTTAATACCGTAACATCTTAGGATGAATCAAAAGTTTGGGAAGAAAAAGAGAAATTTTCTAATACCATTCCTTGATATAATCAGACACAAACATAACAATGTCAAATCACACACAGCTCTAATTTTACCAGTATGTTATTTCTAAACATTTAATGACTCCCCAAACAGCTGACTTTTGGGAATAATAAAAAGCAGACACTTTCAAAACACTCCTTGTAATGAACAGAAAAAGCCCCGAATGAGCCAATTCAACTGAAATTTTGTCTCAGATTTTCCACTAACTTAATGGTCTTCAGTAAATTCCCTTAACAGCATTGTCAGCATCAAAGAGGTACAAGGGGTATGAAAATGAGATAACTGAGAACAAAGTACTTTAAAATGCTTGAAATGTGATATAAATACACATAATGACTCAATTCCAGAGTATAGGATCTGAAACGGCTAAGTTGACTTGTCTTTCATAAAGAAGCTTATAATAGAAAAGCCTGGACTCACCATAGTTTGTCTCCATTTCTATTGGATACTTAATAAAATGGGTTACATAGAGGGAAAGTGTAAGTAATGAGCAGAGGAGACAGAGTCCAAAACAATTTAAATGCATTACTCATTGCTATTCTTGGAGTAAATCAGAGGCCAATCACTGGCTATATAGCACCCAAGGATGGCATTTATCTGTCAAAGTGCACAGGCACCTCTGGGTCACCTTCACAAGCAACTACCACCCGCCTAATGCTTGCCTTAGCCCGATATTTGCAGTTGGAGGTCCTGGAACTTCCTGTCTCCTTGCAGTCTGTGACCTTCACTACACCCTCATGACAGTTCATCTTGCCGTTCTTGCACTGGATATTTTCAGTGCTACAGATGCTGCGAATACTCCAGATGTCTTCATGGATGAAGGTGTTGAAGCTCTTGCACCGATGTAAAGTCATCTTCCGTCTTTGCATCATCAAGTTGCAGTAGTTATCATTGCCACCTGTCTCCTGAGGGTCCACGTGTTGCCGCAGAAACCGCTGGTACATGCGATCCTGGCCATAGGAAGGCTGCACCAGCTGTAGCCCTAGCAGGGTGAGCAAGAGCAGAAGCAATGAATGGGTCCTCTGCAGAGCCATCACCGCCTTAGTGGTGCCTAGAGAAAGCAAGAGGCAGGAGAAGGGACAGTGAGAACTGGGTTCTGGAGAGAGGGGTTGAGAATGACACGTTGACATTTCCTTGACACCACAGTCTCGTCTTTCCCCTTCTTTTATGTACCATCTCCCCACTCTTTTCTGCTCCCAACTTTTCCCACCCTCATTTTCCCACGAGTGAACAATTTTCCAACACGGCACTTCTCTAAATGCAAAACTCTCTTTTCCAGAAAGAAGCTGGCGTAGCCAGTACAGTGAATCAGAACAGGACTTGCTGGGTGGCTGTCCAAGCCTGTGTGGTCCAGGTACAAAAAGAGGAAATGCAAATCTACACAGAACTGGAATTGTCTGTCTTGTGATATAATTACTTGGTATGGGGAATGTTTGATTTACTGGACGCTCCAACAGTTTAGACAAACTCAGGTCAAAGAAAGTTTATGCACCAATTTGAATAGCTTACATCTAGGAATTGAGGGAGGTAGAGAAAAGAGAATAGAGTAAAACTTCAGACTAGCCTTTGCTCTCATATGACTATTCTCCAAGTGGAATAAAATCAGGTCCTTTGGAAATCATATGTGTATATACATACATACATATGATTTCATACATGTATGTATGTGTGTGTGTGTGTGTGTGTTTTAAATTAGGATATTAAAGACATGCTCAGAATTGCTTCTCTCCCTTGAGGTTTCAGGGATGGAGGTGTAAATCACTTGACAACTCTGACTAGACCAATACTGCCATCTGGCAGTCGCTCCTAGAATTGACTTGAACTGTGATGCTGGTCTGAGTTGATTCTACTGGTGGCAATGGGGATGTTGGGGAGGAATCAGCTCTGATTTGAAAGGAAGTGAGCAATCTGAAGCAGCAAAGATAGTTTTTTGAGAGTCAAACAGATGCATCTCTACCTGTGTAGTTCAAGGTCTGGCCCCAGCTGAACTCCTTGTTTCACATATACGGATTCCTGTCCCCTTTTTTTGGCAGTGCTGGGGATGGAACCCTGGGATTTGCACAAATAGGCTTAGATGAGTGCTCTACCACTGAAATATCCCCAGCCTTACTACTGTTCTTTCTTTTCAAAGATCCTGCTTCTTGAGGGCAGAGCCCACCATGAGAGTGACTGCGATGGCTTATGAGGGACTACTTCATTCCACCACTACTCCATCCTTTGATTTGGTGATAGTGACCACTACCAAACATAACTATTGTTCTTTTAAATGTCACCTCCTATTTCATAGTCACCTTTTGCCTTTGTACAGAATGACACAAACCTCTATATCCTATTCCTTTGATTACAGCTGAAGATTCAAGATAATTGTGTTGGAAAGAGAGGAAGTAAAGTGGTTCTGGGAAGAAGAGTGGCAGGAAGAGCTGACGCTTGATATACTCTACTTCCCAGACCAATGGAAACAAGCTTCTGAAGGTTCACTTGGTACTTGGGTTCTAACTTCAGCAGAACAGAGCCTCTTCCCATAACCATGTGATTTCCTGGAAAAGAGCCATTTGTGTGTGTGTGTGTGTGTGAGAGAGAGAGAGAGAGAGAGAGAGAGAGAGAGAGAAGAAAGAGAGAGGAAAAGGAAAGAGAGAGATAGAAAGCATAATTAATAATTGGTGTATTGGTAGTTGGTTTTAAACTTTCTTCCCAAGGTCTCATAATTGTGAAAGTAATGTTGGCTCATTACTTAAAAGAAAAAAAACAACAATTTTCATCTCTTGAAAATTCTTCTTATAACTGTAAGCCCTAGAGTTTTCCCAACTCTCTCTATAGATGAGCTTATCAACTTTACCCTCCCACAAAGGTAAAGTATACCTCCCCATTGACTGATGGGGAACTGGTGATAAAGAAAAAGATGTTTCTACTCCATTCTATCCTCTTTGGAAGCAGTGGAGTGATTCTTACTGGTTTCAGAGACATTTTTATTTATTAAACGTAGGTTGTAAAACACAAAAGATGCAGATGGCTTATTTTCTGGGCGCCTGGAAGTGAATACTGCTGTCACTATTCTGAAGTATAGAGGGGAAGCTCAGGAAAGGAAAGCAAAACCAGCTCAGGGCCAGTGGCCAGCAGTGGCCTGCTGGTCATAGATGGAAAAAGGACTCATCAAAGTGGACAGGTAAGCCATTTTCACAGGCAATAACGATGTGTCTGAACCCTGCTGTAGCCCGGTACCGGCATGGAGGCCGAGGGGACCCTCCTGCATGCTTGCAAGTGGTGACTTGGAAAGGAGACTTGCTTATTCTTAAGTTTTCTCCGTGAGGGTTTCCATTTCTATTTCCACAGATGGCCTTGATGTTGCCCTTGTTGCCATGAATAAAGGTGTTGGTGTCTTTGCAAGGTGAGGTCAGCTCTCGTCTCTCCATCATGCTTTCACAGTATCTGTCATTCCGTCCCTTTGGTTTGGCATCATAGTGCTGGGTCAGGAAGTGTTTGTACCTGGAGTTATCCTGAGCCAGGGTCGGTGGGGTCACAACCAGACCCAGCATGAAGACCAACAATAAAGGGCCTAGGCCCAGCACCATCGCTTCCAACAGAGGTTCCTGCCAACGGCAAAAGGAGGAGTGGTAGGGGCACATATCTTCATTCCAAATTAGGCTAAAAAGGACAGGTACTTTTCTCTCTGACAGGGCATCATGTCTCAGGCATCCTCAGTCACCTAATTACAGCTTTTCTTTAGTCTTCCTCACTAAATTTACTACCTAGGGTTAATCCATTTCTTTGGAAAGTCTATTTAATAGTTTTCCTAATACAACTTCCAACCCCAGCCATTCTTCCTTATCTATTAGGATCACTGAGTGTTTGCCTTTCTATCAGTCACAGTGTTAACAAAAATCCATTCACACTCTTAATTTATTCATTTAATACCAAACATTACATAAGTCTCTACTGGGTCTGGGCACTGTGTAAGACCCTGGGACATTAAAGACCATTAAGATGAAGATCACTTGAGCCCAGGAGCTCCAGGCCAGCCTGGGTAAGATATAAGACCTTGCCTAAAACAGAGAAAGAAAAGACACACCAAATGCCAACCTAAATAGGAATGTGACAGCTCCAATTTGCTGAGATGAGACCACAATACTCGAGAGCTATGAAGGATGACTTTTAAGGGATCCTGAGCCCAGAAAAAGGTCACCTGAGTACTGCTTTAGATGGGTTCTTGGACATATATTTTAATCAATCATCTCTCTATGAGGAGAGCAGTGGAGAGTGGTGTCACCTAGAGGTGAAAAGAGGCAGTTCCACTTCTCTAAGAAGTCTGTGGTTCATGGCCTAAGGCAGAATTGTTTCATACTCTAAAGAAAGAATAGGGAGGAATATGGAAGAAGCCATGCTATGCTTGGAAGTGAGTCTGAGGTTAATTCCCACAGAGCAGAAAAGGCAATTCAAGTTTATTCTGAGGGGCTTCTCACACTGGGGGAATTTGAATTATTCTAGAGAATATTTTCTAGTTCCCTCTGCATATATACATAAATTGTCCCACAATTGGCAAATGATGTTGCCATGTGGTAAAAAAACTAAACAAAAATTCCTAAGATCTTTTCATAAAGTCAAAGGACTTGCAATTGGCTATAATGTTTTCTCAACATCATTCTGAAAAGAAAAAGAGAAGAAGATCCCTGCCACCATCTGTCAAGAGCTATCAGCCTTGAACTGTAGAATTCACACACCATTGTATATGTGGGTGTGTGTGTGGGTATGTGTGTGACTCAAACACAGCTACAGGATAAACTCCCTCTTGGAGCATGACTTTAATTCAATGACAGATCATTGAAAATAGAATTAAATGTGGATTATAACAAAATAGAAAACAGACACTTACAAACTTCTGAGATTTTATTTCTTACAAAATTTGAATTTTTGAGAATTAAAAGGTATTTGGCATTTGTAAAAGGTATTTTTCTGATGTTGTTATTTTGTTTTGCTTTTTGAGGTGGGGTCTTGCTCTGTTGCCCAGATTGGTCCCAAATTTTTGGGCTCAAGTGATCCTCCCACATCAGCCTCCTAAGTAGCTAGGACCAGAGGTGTGTGTCATTATGCCCAGCGTGCAGCAAGTAGTTTCTGACAGTAACCTTAGTTCTTGGAAGAAAGTGTGGTGGTGCATGCCTGTAATCCCAGTAGCTCTGGAGACTGAGGCAGGAGGATTGTAAGTTCAAAATCAGCCTCAGAAACTTAGCAAGGCCCTAAGCAACTTAGTGAGACCCTGTCTCAAAATAAAAGAAAAAAGAACTGTGTATGCAGCTCAGTGGTTAAGCACATACCCCTGGGTTTAATCTCTGGTACCAAAAACAAACAAACAAACAAAAAAAACACCCACAAAACCCAAACCATTCTGAGCCTTTAAAAAAACACCACAGATCTATACCATCTCATATCAAATATCTATAAATGCTGCTATTTTTATTATTAGTTTTGGATAAATAAATAAAAATGGCTTTTCACTGTAAAATTTTAACTGAGTTTTAGAACTTTTATTTTTAAGTAATTTGTCTACCAATAACTCATTTAATTTATGATTGAAAGCAAGCTGTCTTTCTAAGAAGCATTGATCCTCCTTGTCTGTTTCATGGTAACTGTAGACATTGTTGAAGAATGCCAAGTTAGACACCAAGGAATCTTTTAATCATTTCACAGTACGGAAATAAATTGCAGTTTAAAAAGTTTCCATTAAGCAAGAGACTACAATTTGTAAGAGAATCAAGTAAGAGTGTGTTCTGGAATTTACCAAGAATGTGGCAATGATTGCAAAAGTGACAGCCATCCCTAAAATAATAACAAGTATTCACACATGGCTGGGGTACCTTGCTACCTGTGTGACAAGTTCTTCACATTTATACTGTGCTTTTCAGTCTCCTGGGTGTGTTTTCTCTTTCTGTTTTTTTTTTTTTTTTCAATCTTATCCCTTTCACTGATTTGTAATCAATTAAATATATTGCCGTATATTGGACAAATATTGACTTCAAACGTCACAGGCAACTATAAAATCTCAAGTTCTCAAGATTGGAGAGGAACATAGAAGTCACATAGTCAACATCCCTCTGGTACCAGAATCCCTGAGTTCAAAAATTAGGAAGCAGAACAAGGGCAGATAGTACTCAAAAGAGCCATGTTAGTAATATCTTCCCTCAAGTAGAAGGACAGTTGGTCCTTAGAGGTGCCAATATACAGGTTATGGGTATATTAATGTTCACAGAAGGGAGTCTGAGCTGGCAACCCTGCTGAGTTTCTGTCCAAACTTTCTATGCTCTAGATATTAAGACCAAGAAGACCTTTACCCATTCAGAAGAATGAAATTATTTGCTGGTAAATGGATGGAACTGTAGAATATTATGCTAAGTGAAATAAGCCAGTGTCCCAAAGACAGAATGTTCTCTCTAATATGTGGATGCTAACCCACAACAAGGGTCTTGGGGAGGGGAAGAATAAAAGTCCTTTGGATGAGACAAAGGGGAACGAAGGGAAGGGAATACGAAGTATGGTAGAATGAATTAGACATAAATTTCCTTGTATTTGAACACAGGACCAAGGTAACTCTGCATCATGTACAACCACAAGAATAGAATCCTAATTAGAATGTTATACTTCATGATGTATAATATACCAAAATACATTCTATTGTCATGTACATAGAAAAAGAATGAAGAAGAAGGAGGAGGAGGAGATGAAGAAGAAGGAGGAGGGGGAGGAGAAGGAGGAGAAGGAGGAGGAGGAGGAGGAGGAGGAGGAGGAGGAGGAGGAGGAAGAGGAAGAAGAAAATGATAATCTGACCATAAGGGTATCACAAAATAGATTTACCTGTTGTCAGGTTTTATGGGTGCTCTTTCCAAGCATGCTATTACTCATGTGATCTTGAACAAACATTAGACTATTTACTTGTCAGTGTTTCCTACTGGTGTATAATCTACAGGAGGGCAGGGCCCACATTATTTACCTTGAATCCTGTGCTTGCCTCAAATAGAGAGTCAATATTGTCTAAATGACTGATTTCATTTTCCTCTTCAGGCATAGGTTTTTTTCACTTATAAAACAAGAGTTGCTAACTCTAAAGTCAGAAAGTCCATGGTTCTAGGTATAACAGAGTCTTTATCTGTATCAGTAGCATAAGTCCAATGGCAATGGAATTGTAGAGACAGATTTATGTAAGTTTGGTTGGTGGCATAAGGCACCAGCTAGCAGAGGAGGAGGAGGAGGAAGAGGAAGAAGAAAATGATAATCTGACCATAAGGGTATCCGAAACTGGTAATAGGGTGATCTGTAATCCTGTCTTACTGAGATGCATCATCTCTTAAAGCTAGGTGTGTAAGTCAAGTCCACATATCGTCTTTAGTTAAGGCATTAGACTGATACTATAGGAGGGCTTTACCTCCTAAAACACAGGTTACTCTTTGGAGTTTGAAAGCCCTCAGGTCTTAATATGGCAAGGGGGAGGGGTAACGTTGTTTCCAATTTGCAGAATTCGTAAACTCATTTTGTAATTCGGACTGTTCAGTTTTATTGTAATCTTGACTCCCTAAAACACATAGAAACCAAATCCCAATCAGCACACACCACAACCAGTGATATTTACAATCTGCCTCCTCACATATTCAACCTCCTTATTTACATATTCAACCCCAAATTTCCCAAGACCAGGCAAAATGGAATTGGGAGAAAACAAGTAAGAGCCAGATTATCTGTGAGGTAGAAATGAATCCACCTAGGCCAAGGATCTGAATGTATTTTGGTGTATTATACATACAGAGCTTTACTCAGATACACATCTATACCCAAACATGGAACTGTCAGTTGACTTTTTATCAGTGGAATATGTCCCAGTGTTCTTCAGACTCCTTTATCTTTTATCTCAAACTAATCCCTAAGTCTTCATAACAATTAATATCCCCATCCTTTTCTCAAAGGTAATGTTTTGTATCCAAGGGATGTACCAACCTTTAGGTACTAGCGAGTTAACATGACAGTTTATGACAGAGTAATTATGGTTATCATTTTCATAAATGTAGTCTGGCCCTTTTATACATTCTAGGGCAATATCTTCCTGAGGGAAACAATAACACTAAATGCATATTCCTCCAATTATCTCTCTTGTTTCTTCCCTTCAACTGGCCAGTGTACCTTCTTTTGATCCCAAACAAAGTGTTCCACTTTGTTTTTAAAGAGCTTCCAAAACTTTTCTAAGTAAAGAAATCTGTCGGGATGTTAGAAGGAAACAGTGCTGAAAGCATACTTTCTGTATCTCTCCCTAAACCACATATAATGCTTATAATGGGGGCAGGAGCAGAAGTATTTCAGATGCCCTTTAGCAAATGGCTTTCCAGATATCTGGGGATTTTATTACAATTTAGGAATGGCCTTAAACCTCCACTTGCTCCTAATCCCACTAATTTCCTATTATACACATACAGGTTATCCCAAAAGAAAACTGTTAACATTTTAAATTTGAGAGTCTGAGAGTCTTTTTTTTTTTCTTTTTATCTCATCAACTTGGTCCCAGAGATCTTAAAAAGGGATAAAGCATTTCATTGAAATGGATGAATGACTAGAAATAGTATATAGATATAAAGAAATTTAACAATAGATTACCCAGGAGGAAGAATCTTACAAAAATCTGGCAGTTTCCCTCCAACTAGAGATGGATCTGGCTGTTCTTCCTGGAGATGAGTTCCAGCTGTGTGAACGTAGAGGTCCCTCCTGGCTCTGATTATATAGTGTTCACATGAAGGGGTGGGAGAACTGACCTAAGGTCCCAAATCCTGGCAGAGACAAGCAAACCAAGGACCCTGCTCTTAGACAAACGAGGAGAGTCATTCACCTTTTCCCTGGGCATGACTGGGTCAAATATTAACCCACCTGAATGGACTGGAAAACTGTCCTGGGGGAAAAGTTTGATAAACATGGCCTTTCATCCCAAAGCTGCCTCTTTCTGATGTCCATGGTTCTTATTCTTGCCCACAACAGAACTGAGGTTTCATTGTTCACACACAGTTATCTGGATCTTTAAGACATTATATTTGACCTGATGAGCCAACTCCAAGAACTGCCTTGGAAGAATTCTATAGAGTAAGTTATGGTCTTCCTGTGGTTGCTTTTCTACTGTACTTTCTGTGTATCTATAGAATTTGGTTTCATGAAAGGATGCTAAGAAGGTTATACCAGAAATTTCATGGAACCAGAAAAACACTTTTAGTGAAGGTTATGTGACAGCTATTAATACCCTGCCTCCTACCTCAGCCTCCCAGATACTACCCCCAGAAATAACCTTGCTGTATTTCTTAGGCTTCTCCTTCCTTTTTAAATTTTTTTTTGTAATTTGTTCTAATTAGTTATATATGACAGCAGAATACATTGATGCACTTTAATATATCATACATAAATGGTAAAGGCTTCACCTTCCTTTTATCTTTACCTGTGCACAAAATACTAACTCTGAGCACTCCAGCTTCTGTTCCTTGACAAACAGTTGCAAAATTGATTATCTCCACCACTGATACAACTTTGCTCTTTCAGACACTCACAAAGCAGCATCACTGCTTATATAGGAACATGGGCCTCAGTCACCAGTATCACTTTCTACATCCTATAGTTTCAAATATTAAGCAAAAGTGGGATGCCCAAAATTTCCAAACTCCCAGTACTCACCTAAATTTGTGCTGCATCTAGAACACTGTCATCCTGTTTTAAATCCTCAACACTCTGTTGTCATCCCCACACCAAGTGTTCAATCTGCCCATGTTTGAGAAAATGACAACTCAAGACAGGCTGGCTGCCAGTAAAGCAACTGCACTTGAAATCATTATAGTAATTATAATAATCAGTGTTACCCTTTATTTTGTGAAGCTCTCATATACATGACTACATTTAACCCTCTGGGCTGTGTGAGGTAGGTACTACATAAGTCTCTTTTGCTTATTAGAAACTCCAAGATCAAACAGCAGATGAATGGTGGAGTCAGACTTCAAGCCCTTAAACTGAAGAGAGAAAATCTACTTGTTTTTCCAGACTCCGCTCAGCAATGCCTCCTCTGAGTCCCAGCTAGTTCTTGTCAATCCCCATCCAATCCCCTGAGGAGCTGCCCACTTCTTTCTTTGTGGAGTCATGACATCCAGTACATACCTGCAACCAGGCAAGCATTTGGCAGAGGTCCCAAGATGACAGCACTGAGTTAACCTCAGATATGTGCTAGTTTGTCTGAAAAGCAGGTGAGTCAGCCTGAAGGAAGTCTGTTTGTGTAAGGATCTGTAATGCCTCCAGAAAGGATTCATCCTAACAGAAGAACATGATGAGGGGTAGAAGAAAGATACATAGGCCATACAGCAGTGTGGGGAATACACTCTGTGTCATTTACATTCCCTTCTGACTCAGTTTTCTGAGTCCTAGGGAGAAGACCCTGCAATAGAAATATAAATAAAGGAGTGAGGAGAGTTGTTGTTTAGTAGTAGAGTGCTCACCTAGCATATGTGAGGCCCTGGGTACAATCTCCATACCACACACACAACTTAAATAAAAATAAGTTTTGTTTCATAAAATCTATCTTTCTCTCTTTGGTACTGGGAATTGAACCACACCTAGCTATTTCATGAAATCTCTCTAAAACTCAGAGAGTCAATAGCAAAGCAGTGTAATTAAGTCCACAATCCCAGTGATTCAGGAAGCTCAGGCAGGAAGATCACAAGTTTGAGGCCAGCCTCAGCAATTTATCAGGACCATAAGCAACTTAACAAGGCTCATTCTCAAAATAAAACATAAAAAGGGCTGGGGATGTAGTTCAGTGGCAAAGCACCCCTTGATTCAATCCCCACTCTCAAAAAAAAAGGAAGAAATTCACTGTGATTGTTGTATGCTTACCTTGTAATCTTGTATCTAGGGGAAAACCTAATATTCACTTCAATTGATTGTCAATTTATACATTTTGTTCCATCTTTCTATGTATAATCATATATAGATAACTAAAGCTGTACTTCTTCTCTTTGGGGGATTCACTACAGGAGTGAAGTAGGGGGCAGGAGCAAGGGCAAACTACCTTCCCCCACATGGGAATCATGTTGGGACACTTTTGAAGCAAGTCTGGACACAAGAACTGGAGCATTCATTCCATTTGCTCTACCAGAAAGGAAGAGGACACTGTGTATTGTCACCTTTAGTCACTCTCAGAAGCATGGGTCACTTTGTATGGCAGGAATAGACCTCTCGGAGGGAGCTGAAACAGGACAGGTAAAAACTCAGCCTTACTGTGTAGGTTAAAAGCGAATTTGCAGGCTGGGAACTTCAGAAAAAAAAAAGTGCACTGATTTGGAGTACTTATAATTGGATGGGACCAACCTGGTTTTACTTCAGGATAGGGTAACCAGGAAAATAGTCTGCTAACCATCACTCCTTTCTCTTGAAGGCTTACAAATGAGAGTGGCATGGTAGCAGTCACTAACTTAGGTAGTCCTGATTTCCAGACAGAGAAGGAAGGCTTTCAAGGGTCTCAGGAAGGCTCTGCTTCTAGCTTATTGCTCATTCCGAAATTCCCACTGAGTTCCCTTCATTTCTGAGGTATTGGTCCTGGCTCCAATGAGAAAAATCCCTAGGAGGGTAAAGTCTTTACATATCTGACAGTAATTTACACAACGTCAGGAATGTGCTTCAGATCCTTTGTTAAGAACAGTTTCTGGTAACTGGGGGAGCTTGATGATTTAAGGCAGAAGAAAAGTGGGTGGCAAGGCTCAGTCTCAAAATAAAACATAAAAAGGCCTGGGGGATGTAGTTCAGTGGCAAAGCACCCCTTGTATGGAAAAGGACCAGTTTTTCAGTTTTGTTGGAGCACAGACCTGCCTGAGCTTCACTATTGTCCTTGTCCCTGCATCCCCAGTCAAACCCTGAGCTAAAAGGAAAAGAGGTTGGGGGTAATGAGAAGAGGACTAAAGCAAACTGCCACATACTGCTTGCCCATACGACCTGATGCCTCAGAGGTCCTGGAGTCCTTGGAAAGGGAGGGGCTGGCATGCCTCTGACGTACCATCAAACACCAAAAGCCAAAGTTTGTTCTGCCAAGTGCCAAAGTTTAAAGCATTTCAGGAGCAAAGAGAAATAACAGGACATAGGAGCCCACAAGATGGGGCTTCAACTGGCATCCAACAGAGTGCCCAAATGCTCGGTTCCTTTTGTGGGCAAACACCATTTGCAAATGGTACCTATTTTAAATTAATCACACATTACCATTTAAAAGGACACTGGAGAGCTAAGTTCTAAAAAGTTATGGACCACTTGTTTGTTAGGGAGGAGAGATGCCAGACTGATTGCAACACCCCATTGCTTCAGCAGTCATCAGTAGAAGCAGCAGCCAACTCCCACAGCTGGAAACGACTTGATTGATATGTCCCTTCTCTGATAAATAGCCCAAGAACTAAGATAAGGTACTCTACCCTAACCCACAATTTGCACACACACACACACACACACACACACCCATACATGCCTCTGGCCTTGAAATACCAATTCAAGCACCATCTCACCAGAACAGAGCTGCCTCTACTTTTAGTCATGGGGTAGTGGGAAGGAGTAGCCTCAGGCCTCTGAATACAGTCAGGTCCCTTCTCTGCCGGACAACCCTGGAGGATTCACAACCTGCTCACATAGTTGATAATGCAAAAAGCCATTTCTTTACTTTTCAACTAGGCAGAAGGAGGTTACATTGAAAGAGAAAATAGGGTTGTTTGTTTTTTTAAAAACAAACACATCAGCCAGGCATGGTGGTGCATACCTGTAATCCCAGTGACTCTGGAGCCCAAGGCAGGAGGATGGCAAGTTCAAAGCCAGTCTCAGAAACTTAGCAAGGCCCTAAGTAACTTAGCAAAACCCTGTCTCAAAATTAAAAAAAATAAAAATAAAAAGGGATGAGGACTGGTTCAGTGGTAAAGTACCCTAGTACAAAAAAGAAAGTTTTGCTATTTCATTAAAATACATCTAGTACTTACTCATGTATGTTTCAAAATACAAGAAATTATAGTCTATGATTAACAAACATTATATCTTTGTCAGTAATTTTAATACATGCAAAGCATTGCTGATTTAAAAAAAATACTCATAAAAAAAATTTCTGTGGAGTATGGTGGTATATGCCTGTAATCCTAGTATCTCAGGAGGCTAAGGAAGGAAGATCACAGTTTTGCCTGGGCAATTTAGCAAGACACTCAGCAACTTAACTACTTGGGGATGTAGCTCAGTGGTAAAGTGTCCCTGGGTTCACATCCCAGAACCACATAAATATATATGAAATTTATATATAATAAATATATAAAATAAGTAAATTTAAAAATGAAAAACTGTTCTGACAACTTGAACTTAAGTTATTCCATTTTTCTGGATTTTTTTTCCTATGTCTCTCTCCCCAGCCAGTTGTGTCCTCACATGTAGACACAAGAAGCATGAAATTTTCCTTCCAAAGATTCTAGTGTTTATGTACTTTCCTCCTTTATACAGAGTATACATGTGTGATTCTGTCCTTTAGGAGTAATTACAAAATTAGATGATGGAAGGAATGATTTACATGTACTCTAAATTCTGTTATAACAGTAACATTTATAGCAATAAACACAACACTTATTCAGTAACAGAGGTAATAGTTAAAGGAGGAAACACATGAAAAGAAGGGTCATAGCTCCAGGAAACAGGGACACTGTTGACTGAAGGTGAATGGGAACAAAGTCCTGGGACATATCTATATCTCAAAAGACAAAA